GTTTGATCTTCCATCTCTATTCGCCAATCACGGAATGTTTGGAGGTGGGTTGAAAGCACCAAGCACTTGACAGCAAAAAAACTACTTGGGCATCCTATGTGTTCTATTTGGGCAGTGATTTTCAGGAAGTTGGTGAAACTAGATCAAGAAGGACCATATGCAGAAAGACATTGGACTCATTTGGGCTCCAGTGACCGGATTCATTTCCTGGCGATCGTACATATGTATGTATGTGTACATACACAATCATACATATACATAGAAGATCGACAAACCGTACTAGTTCACCAGCGGTGCTGGTGAAACCTGGGGATGGGTCGTTCAACCTGGAGCCAACGACTGACATCAGGTAGGTCAATCGCTCATGGACGACTCAACAAACTGAGACTCCTGGAGAACCTAGCATGACGAGATAAACAACCGTTATCAAGACTTTTGGTTCAAATCCCAATTATGAGGTAAGCATGCCTGTTTCCCAAAACTCATTGTTTCCGGATTCTAGTAAGCATTCCTGCAGTCAAATTCAGCATGTGAAAGAGCCTGGCGCTGAATGGACATCCTCAGGGTGACTACACGCAAAAGTCTGACAATAGTCGAACGGATCCCGGAATCAGACATGATTCCCCATTTTCACTATATATATATATGTATGGCGATTGCTTATACATGCTTATACTGCGTTTTTGTGTTATGTTCTTTTTTTTACATATTACATTAATTACATATTTAGCTTTTCACCATTTATCCTCTCATCGGGGAAGCCACGGCGAAGCTCAGTCGCCGCGGGGTGTTCAACGGTTTCTCTCACCGACTCTGAGGCCTCGGGACGTGTCAATCAGGCGACGGGTCTTGGGCTCTTCTCAGTGGAAGCACAAGAACAAATTTATGTATACGGTCTACGGTATGGTATGCGAAACATAACCAATGCTAGCCGTAACAAAGCTTTTGTGGATGTGTCACGCATCCAATCTACCAAGAAACTACTCTCAGACTGATTGGTGGATGTTTGCTTGTGACTGGCAAAAATGAATGTTTTTGGAAAGGTGGAACATGCTTGGAACCTTTCCTGATGTATGAAGAGTTTCCCTAGTGCAAGTTAGAACATCTTTGGGTGAGCTCTTCACTTGATGGATCAGCCCTTTTGCTTTCCTTGGACCAAATAATTGCTGGTCCCCTTTGAGTTTTCATGGCATATGCCAGCTTGCAGGTGTTCATCCTGGTTCTGTGGTTCCTCCCAGTGACCACATTGATCGTAAGCAGAACCGTTTCGTGTTCACGTCCATGCGGCGAATTTGGCATCGGCTTGGCCTCTGGCAGTTTGCTTGTGATTGTTTGGCGTTGTTTTGAGGATTGTTTTGTAGACTTAATATATGCTGTCATTGTAGTTTTATTGTATTTAAATTTAGTGTAATTGCCTCATGTTCTATTTGTCGTGCCTTTGTGTTTGTGTGTGTTATATATATTGGTGCCTCCTGCTATTGAACACCCCCCAGCCTCCAAAACAAGTAACATTCCAACGATGATATACACTGGTGATCTCTTGAATCGCTACAGCATGATCATGAGAAAGCACCAGTGACTCCACGAGATGACTCCACGGTGTAATGGCCATACGGTTGAACGGTGTATTCCGAGTGCATTTCAAGTGACCCAAGTATCCCAAGTGACCATCAAGAGCCCACAAGGTGACCCGCCAGTTCATTTGCCCGCCATGGGCGTTGGTCATTTTGCAAACGTGGGTAGGTGGTAGCTTGGGTGGGTGGTAGCTGGTGGATTCGGCTTTTGGATTCAGATGAGCCTCTTTGGATTCGCTTGGGATTCGGCCCGTGACCGTGCCAGTTCGCCAGCAGTTTCAAGGACACCTTCATGGGCGGAGTGCGGATCCTAAGTGGGTGGACGAAACAGCTGTTGCTTCGACCGGACTGTGACCGAAACGGTGGGTCCGTTCCCACCGAGTCCGAGGCCTGAGCCAACCATCACGATCCAGCCTTTCCTGTAAGTTGTTTGCTTTCGAGTTGAAGCTGAAGCTTCCAGCTCTGTAGGACATATCAAGGGAACTCGAAGGGATCCATACCTTATGGGTGAGTTTGGAGTTTGGATCTACCTTTCAGAGTATCCAACACCACTGGGGATGTGATCAAATGAAACATCAACCTTTCCCGCCCACTGGAACTTGCGATGACCATCAGAGGCCTCCAAAGCGCAAACGATTGAACGATTGTTCCCCGGGTGCGATGAATCGGAGCTTCCCTGTTGAACGACCTGAAAACAGCAGCGCTTCTCCGAAAGAGTTGAATGTACGGTCGGGTGGTTAGAAGGAACAATTTCCTGCCAAAGACCGGGTAAGACCTTGTCCTTTATTTCATTCATGAACAGCAGTGTTCGACCAAGTCCGGTAAAAGGAGGTTTTTGGCCTGTAGGGTTTGTTTTGGCTAGAAGCTTAGGTCCCAGCTTTCGACCAACACGCCGAGGGCCGGTGTTGTAGGATAGGTCGGATAGGTCCCAGGTAGCAACCCGCAGCAAGCGATTCACTCAGGCGCCGGCTTGGCAGCAGAGGGAGATCCAGAGTCTGCGTGTCGAGAATCTCCCTGTGACCTGCATCCCTGGAAGTAGTTTGTTACCCCAGTCGTGTCTTCCGATATGATTGTTTTGTTTGGTTGGTTAGTCAAGTGTAGGATTCTTATGGGCTTGCACGTAAGAATACCACTCTCTCTAATTCACCCTGGCTGTCGACCCTGTTGCTTGGTGAGCTTGTTGGGTCAAGTGTCAAGAAGCCCTGAGTGTTTTGTGCCTGGTTTGGCTTTTTCGCTTTATTTCCCTTGGATTCAGAAATTCTTTTTTGGTTTGCTGACCTGGGATGCCGCTACCGCGGCCTTCGCGCCCGGTGCGTGCAGCTTCTCGTGACGTGAGCAGCTTGCGGCCGGGACTGCCTTGCCCCAAGCGGCAGCGGGGGTTCTCCCGCAGTCCTGCGCTCGCTCCGTCAGAGATTGCTGCAGCCCCAGCCATTGAATACGTTGGCGCATCACGTTGGGCTATGACGCTGCATGTTCGCGACAGTTGTGCAAGTGCTGCGCGTTCAGATGAGTTTGAATCGCAAAAGTGGGTACACTTGTGGGCTGGACTGCTTGAAGAATTTTTGCCACACGCGCCAAATTTTGTGGATTTGGGTGGCTTGGCGCAGCCTAGCTTGATGCGTATGCTATCAAAGAAAGCGGCTTCCACCCTGCGTCGCCACTTGCCAAGTTGGCGTTTGTGGCTTGACTTTGCCTGCCATCACGAGTGGCCTGCTTACAATCCACCATTGATGGACTTTGTGGGATACGTACAAGCTCTGCTGTACAATGGTAAAACTGCACGTGGTGCAAAAAATGGTATTGCTTCATTGAAATTTGTGGCTGCGTTGATGGGTTGGGGCGCTTGGTTGACGACCTTGGGGCATTCGGTAGTGGTGGCCTGGTGCGAGCCGCAAGCGAGTTTGAGTCCACGTAAAGAGGCGCTGCCTCTTCCACTTTCTGTGGTCTCTGCATTTGAAACAAAAATCCATAAAGATCTGGACTCCGTGGTGACCAAAGATACTTTGGCCTTAGTTGCCTTTCTGCTCATGATTTGGGGCGCGTTGAGATTTAGTGATGCTCAAAGACTTGCTTTAGGTTCTTGTCAAATTGAGCGTGGCATTTTGCGAGGCTGGTGTTATCGCACCAAAACTTCCAAGGATGGCATGCCCTTCGGAGTGCTTACTCTGGGGATCCATGATTGTTGGGACAAGGGTGTGTCTCATCTATGTGACCATCTTGGACATGGTGATTTTTTGATTCCTGGGCCTAGTGGTGCCTGCCAGCTTCGCTTACGCATTAGGGCAATTTCGCAAGTTGCTGGTAGCTATTGGTGGCCTTTCGACCGCGCAAGCGCGGAACTATACCCTGCACAGCTTGAAAACGACAGGCTTAACCTGGGCCCTTCAACTTAAGGACGTGGACCATGTTCAGCGTCGCTTGTGGGGTCACCATCGTGGAGGCGACAGCGGGTCAAAGATGACAACCAAGTACAGCCGGGACGATGTCCTCCCAGCCTTGAGAGCTCAATTGAAGGTACTAGACTCCGTTCGTGGCGGGTGGGTTCCCCTCACGCCGCAAGCGCGCGGTTCATTGCCGCCTGTGCCGGAATCGGCTCTTTCTGGGCCCCTCCATCGATTAGTGTGGACGCCCTTTGGTTTGGCTGCAGCAGGACCTGGTCTTGATGCAAATGATTCTGGAACCGAGACAGATACATCGTCTTGTAGCTCGTCTTCCTCCTCAGAGTTTTGTGCATCTGATCTGGAGGACGTAGATGCTCCGGCGGCTGCTGAACCACCCGCCTTGACCATGGCCAGCGGTGTTTTCGTGGTCAATATAGCTACTTCCTACTTCCACGCAGCTGTGAATCTTGGCCTGGATGAGTTTGGGCGAGCCTGCGCCCCACGGCAGCGATTGCGCCCTCCACGGTGGGAAGTTTGGCATACCAATCCCGCAGAAAGCCAAGAAATTTTTCTGCCTTGCTCTCACGCGGCGTGTGCTGCTGGGTTGTGAACTGGTACTCATGGTTCTGATGCAAAAGGCAATTTGGAGACCCAAGCGTCTCTGCGTTGGGAAGAGCCGTGTGCTCTGGTCGGAGCGCGGTGCTCCTTGAAAACAGAGCTTGGAGTGTGGTACTCCAGGTAGGGGCCGTGAGCTCCTGGGAGCGCGGTGCTCCTTGTTTTGCAAATTTGTCTACAAACAGAGCTGTGTGCTCTTGTTGGAGTGTGGTACTCCAGGTACGGGGCCGTGTGCTCCTTGGTCTGTGAACCTTGCCTGGTTGTTTTTTTTTTAAAAGTGGGTTACCCTTACCCTTTGGCTGCGGTAGCCGGTGCGGCGCGCTCGCGTCAACATTTGTTTGCATACAAATCTCTATGCTTGAGAAAGCTAGAAGTTGCTATTGCTGCGCTTAGTTGATATACAGCTTGACTTGTTTTTGCTTTGCCGGTGATGGCTTGCGAGTGGAGCAAAGCCATGGGAGAAGAGGGCTTATGTGAGGAAGTGATTGAGGCTATATTGAAAATGGGTTTCAAACGCAAAGCCTCATTTGCGCATGCCTTTGTCGACTCGAACGTCTTCGAAGATTGGCTTACACGTTTCAAACTGAAGTTGGTTTCGTTCAAAGACCTGGACGATGCGGAATGGTTGACATCGCCCACATGTGGAGACCTCCGCGCGTTTTGGAAGAAGAGTTCGGGTGAAGAATTGCCGGCTCCTGCCAGTGCCAAGCATTTGCCATTGTTGGGCTCCTTGAGTCTACCAGCCAAATTTGGTGCTGCGGATCGCGAAGCCTTGCTGAAAGTGTTTGAAAGCAACTACCCAGGAGCCGCGCTCACTCCCGAGACAACCCCTTGTTTGCCCTATCTGCAGACTATCCAGAGCCAATGTCAACAGAAATCTTGGGCTTGGGTCGCATGGCGCCGGATCCTTTCCGAAGCTGCGCTTTGGGATGTCCAAAGCCGCAAAGCAGGCACAAAAAAGAGGGATCTGACGGAGGTCTTGGCTGAGGCAGCAGGTCTGTGTGGTGAAGAATGGGACTTGGACATGGGGGGGTCGCCCCATCGCATTTTTCAAATTCTTTGCACTCGTGCACATGCTTACGCCCTTTGTGGTGGCGGTCATTTGCAAAATTGGCTGACGTACACTCACAAATTCATCAGTCATTACTCTCGCAAATATGGCGCGGGCTGGAGAGCGCCAAACCCAACTGAAGCTGAGGATGCCGACCGGGAGGTGTTGACTGAAGTCTTCAAGCAGGTGCTTCGTGATGGAGTGTCCCTGGACACCGCCCTTGATTGCGTGGTTCGTGAAGATTTCTTTCGTCACTATCTTGGCCCGAGGCCCAGATTGGTGCAGAAAGCGTTGCCCGGCTTGGAAGAGGATGTTGTGGTCAAAAAGCCAAAGCGTCGGTTGCCGCAGCCTCTTACTGATGGCAAGAAGCAACGGGACAACCAGGGCAAGGGCAAGCTAACTGGTGAGCCAAAGCAGCGAGCTCAATCTCAGTGTTTTGCCTTCAAGAAAACTGGCAAATGTGCCTTTGGTGCTGACTGCAAATTCCAACACGCCGAGTGACTAGATCATGAAGCCAATGAAATGAGATCTATGCTGGATCAACGTGAGCTGGAATTGTCCTGCGTGCCCCAAGCGGCCGAATTAGGTGCGGTAACTAGTTCAGCTCCTCCAGCGACGGCTGTCGCTAGATTGGACAGCGTAGGGCGGGGAGCCATGGCGCCACGTGCGGAATTTCCTATTCCGGATGGCGGTGGCTGCGCCTCGTCTGCTGATTGGTTAGCGCCGCGCGGTGCGCGTGACTTGCTGCGGGACTTGCGGAATCAATTCCAAGCCTTAGTAGTTTCTTGGGGCGCAGTCGGCAGATTGCAGAAGCATTCGCGTGAACCTTCAGATGAGATGCTTTTCTCAGCAATGGAAGTTTCTGAAGCGCGACAGACTTTGTTGACCTTTCTCGCGAGCAAGGGTTTTGCCTGTAGTGACATGGTCAGTCCTCATCAACCTTTTCTCCTGGACGTTTGGTCAGCTTTGGGTGCTTACTGCAACGATGTGGATTGTTCATTGCCGCCATTACTGGCGCAGGGGGTTCCAACTGGTGTGGTGGAGCCAATCCCTGCCTCTGGCATTTGGGAACCTGTTTGCACCGAAGTGGATTCCCAATTAGATGACCTTTCCATTCATGTTCAACCGTGGCGTAGTGGACTTGACCGTGAAGATCTCACACTTGATCTCATGCTAAAAGACGTGGCAGCAGGACATGCTTTTGAACTTCTTGGCGGTGAAGCTGAAGCGAAGCTGCGTTGGGGTGACCTTGTAGCTGCGGGAAAACTAGGGATTGCTCAACCACCTGGCAAAAAACCTCGTCTCATTGGCGACGGCACCGTCTCTGGCGCAAACAGCCGTTGTGTGATTGAGGAAAAGGTACGCTTGCCAACATTTGAAAGTGTGCAACGTTTCATGTCACTCACCCAGCCTGGGGAGTGCTGGGGTGCACTGAACTTCGATGTGAGGGGTGCTCACAAGCTGGTGAAGGTTGCCCCTGCAGAGCAGGGTCTATCCTGCTTTGTGGTCAAAGGCCGCTGGTTTGCCTACAGGTCTTGCTATTTTGGATGTCGGTGGGCAGCTTACTGGTTCTCGCGGGTTGGTGCCTTCCTCGTCCGGCATTGTCACCAATTTCTCTGGGTCAAGCACGGTTTTTTCCTCTACGTGGATGATGGGCTAGCATTGTTTCCTGCCGGGGTGTGCCCCCTCTTGGCTACATCTTTGCTCCTTTTCTTAGTAGCGCTTGGAGTCCCTCTCTCTTGGGAGAAAGTGCGCGTGGGCCACTTGCAATCGTGGATTGGTTGGTCTTTTGATTGGGGTCTTGGCCAAGCTGAATTGCCGGACAACAAGCGGCAGATGTTGGTGGGATTATTACAAGATTTGACATCGGTGCGGCGCAAGGTGCCGCGCAAACATGTCGAGCGTTGTGTGGGCCTCCTTGTCTGGTTTTGCGGCGGAGCTTACTGGCTGAAGCCGTGGTTGCAAAGCTTGTACCAACTACTTTTCAAGCCAGTTTGTGTATTTCGCTCATTGTCCACTGGACAATTTGGGGCTTTGCTCGCCAAACTAACTGATGGACTCTATGTTTCCCAGGATTTGCGGGATTGTGATGTGCTCCGCGGATGGAAACTCCATTCAGTTTGGAATTGCCCAGTGTCCACTCTGGACAGCGAGCCTTTGAGAACTCCGCGGGTTCGCCAGGGATCGATTAGCTGCGTTTTCTATGATTATTCTCAGGATATGGTTCCATGCAACCGGGCTTCCACTTGGGCTGCACAGTTTTTTCTTCGCGCAGTTGAGCGCCAAGTCAAGATTCCTCTTCGGGTGTTGGAGCCAGACCGGGGCCAAGCCGCAGCTGATGCATTTGCCACCCAGCATCACGCTGGCATTGGTGGTTGGTGGTGTCCATCGGCTGATGTCAGGAAGTCTGAAGTGTCGTGGTTCAGTGAGCAGTTGGTTCCAGCATCTTTGCCGGCTTGGCTGTGCGCAAAAGCGACCTTGCAGCAAGATATCGCCTCCTTTGAAGGACTGGCGCAGCTGTGCTTGCTTGTTGCACGGACAGGCTGCGAAGATACTCCAGGGGGCTACACTTTGCGCTTGCGTCAGCTGTGTGACAACTCGGGCACTGCTGCTAGTGCGCGAAAAAAGCTGACTATGCAGGCCCCATTATGTTATGTGCTGCAAGCTATTGGCTTCCACTGCTGTGCCCTGGGCGTCTGTTTAGACCCGCAGCACGTTGCTGGAGTGAGAAATGAATGGGGGCAGATGACTTGAGCCGCAATCGCTTGGAAGGCTTTAATCCAGCTCGAAGAGTCCGCATAAATGCGCGGACGTTGTTGGAGGCTCCTTGGAAGGACTTTGAGCAGGGTTGTGGTAACCCACCTGGACAGTTGGGGGCTTGATCAATTCTTCGATAGGGCTGGGAAGGTGGGCCTGCTGGGCTGCCACCCAGCAGGCCCACCTGGCAGGATTGATCAAGCGTTCTGAGCATTGGAAAATGCTGCTGAGAGTGCAGGTGTTGGTTGTGGTTTGGGTCCACACAATTGGTGGGTTGTGTTAACCTGGGAGTAAGCTAGGTGAATTTGTAGAGGTGTAGGATTCTTATGGGCTTGCACGTAAGAATACCACTCTCTCTAATTCACCCTGGCTGTCGACCCTGTTGCTGACTTGGTGAGCTTGTTGGGTCAAGTGTCAAGAAGCCCTGAGTGTTTTGTGCCTGGTTTGGCTTTTTCGCTTTATTTCCCTTGGATTCAGAAATTCTTTCCCCCCCACCCTCCTCCAAGAAATTCTGAACAACTTCTGGAGAAGCCAGAATCTGTTGAACGCTCTGGTGCAGGGCCTTTTTGCCAAATGTTCAGGGAGTGTGGTGCTCTCTACAGGAACCCTTGTCCTGCAAGGAAGAATGCAGCTTGTGAATGCAGCGATCAGCATCTCTAGAGCCCAAGTGCTCTGACCAAAGCCCTGGGCTGGGAAGGTGGGCCTGCTGGGCTGCCACCCAGCAGGCCCACCTGGCAGGATTGATCAAGCGTTCTGAGCATTGGAAAATGCTGCTGAGAGTGCAGGTGTTGGTTGTGGCTTGGGTCCACACAATTGGTGGGTTGTGTTAACCTGGGAGTAAGCTAGGTGAATTTGTAGAGGAGTCGGCAACCATTCTGGACTTCACAGCACAGGAAAATCCAAATCCGAGGCCTCGCGCAATTACTCCATCTAAATCACACAAGCCACAACACCCTTTGTTCACTGTCGAGGCTTTGACATCCCAGAACGTGTAGGCCAAATCCTCGGTGTTCCAGGGCGGCTGCAGACACGACAAGTCGTCTCCGCTGCAGAGTGCTCCAACTGTTTCAAGATCCGAGCAGCGGCGGAGGTTCGTCAGTGGTTCGTATGGTGTGAACCATCCCAATTTGGCAAGGGGGTGCCAGAAGTCAGTGTATGTACCTTGAGGACGGATGAGTTTGTTGTTAATGCCCTGGACAGAGAATGACAGGTGACATAATATAGCTTGCAGCTCTTTGGTTTCTAAAGTTTATGTGTGGGACGATTTGGTTTCGCACTGTTAGATAATTGAGTTGTGTTCTCTCTCAGGTGGTGCCGCTCACATGTTCTCGTGCAGCAGATGGACATCACCCGCCCACATCGCTGCAGGAAAGAGCCATCGATATCATCCAAGAATTTGGATCTTTGTTCTATTGGACTCCTCACTGAATGCAAAAACCTCAGAAACCTACCCAGAAACCTTGGAATTCCTGGGATTAGGTTTTGCTGCAGCTCTATTTTCACTAATGTGAGAGGAACATGTTGCTGCAATTCAGTTGTTGCCATATGTGACAAGCACTAAATTTGCCCAGGGTTCTGAATACGCTGCGTCGGATACAGGAAACCATGTCGGAGTCTCAGTCAAGGTTTGCTGGCAAACCAGAGGATTCCTCTCCGATATTCTCCGAAGTGCTTGTATCAGTGGTGACAGCATTCTTTCTTTCGCGAGGGCTTTGGACAGGCAAAACAAGCGCCGTTTGTGTCCTAGCAAGGTGTCCTTTGCCCCTTTCGGAAGCATCTTAGCGCCTGCGTGTTCCTGACAACTCAGTTACACGCCGCAGATATTCTTCGCCTGTCAAGGGTAGCAGTGGGTCAGAAGATGTCAAAACAAGAGTACAGTGGAGTTTGACTATCAACATACTATACCTAATCCTATAGGTGTCTCAATACACTTTTGACCCACATTTAATTGCCATTCGCTACCTTTTCAAAGATTGAAGCCTTGACCCAGCCTGCTCGCACAGCGAGAGTTTGTGGCACCCTGCATGATGGATGGCTAGAACTGACCACGACATATGGCCACAACAGAAATGCCCAGACACTGCTGTGACACCTGGATGATGAGAACATGACTTCTCAGCTGCAAGTATACCTGAACTTCACCAGCTATCTAAGGGGTAACCCATCATGTTGATCATGTCTCTCATGTGGGTCAAGAAGTGATCAGATTCAGATTGAGAATTCTTTGGGAGGTCTCAACAGACAAGCCCAAAAAAAGGCTTGATGGTTGAGCATGGTTGAACCATCCTGCTGGGTGACCCTGGCCAAGACTTAGGACTCGTGCTACAGTCAACAATCATTGTTTTAGCGCGGGCGATGTCCGAGCGATGTCACTGGATGGGTGGAGTGTCCGAGTGTCCGAGCGGTCTCACGATTCATTCCAGACTACTCCTACCATCTCCTACTAGTATTGGTTGGTTGATGAATAAAGGGGACACCCTCAGGTGTACGACCAATTGGTGTGCCAAACCGACCCCTCCCTTCTCCCTAAAAGGAAATTGACATCGCTGCTACCAGTGCTTTTCACGTCGCCATGTCATCAGAATCTCCTTCAATTTTTGAGTTGATTCTGTTGCTTTCCAATGTCCACTCCAACAACTTTAAGGGATGAACGTTGTTTTTTATTTATGTGTGCGTTCTATTTTTTCCGGGCCAAGCGTAGATTGCACAATCCCCAAGTTCGGTGGTTTATAAAATCACCAGCT